CTTGATTCTGATTGGCTGAGCCGCGTTCGAAGCTGTTGTAAATGACTCTACAAAGTAACACACACCTTTGTTTACTTCTGTGTGTTGCTCGGCAACCACTTTGTAGCAACCACAACTGTTTCTGAGGAGCTACATTGTTTGGTGGAAGAATACTGTTTTTATTAATATTACACTTTATTTGCTTGCAATTACATTAAGACAACTGTTTTCAATTACAAAATGTGATGTTTAAACATGCAAAAGAGCCATTATTTTAATTAAATATGCACTAATTTGTACAGACATTGGATAAAGCCAGGTGCATAATTCTTGTTGGATTTAGTCGTCATATTAGAGTCAAAGGTTTTTCCAGAGGGGATTTTGGATTTCTCTTTTCATCACTGCATAAATCAAAAAATACTGTCAACAGACAGAAAACAAACAAACAAACACATTTTCACCGCGTTGTTAGTTGTAAAATGTTCTATAAATGCGACCCTGGAGCACAAAACCAGTCATAAGGGTCAATTTTGTGAAATTGAGATTTATGCATCATCTGAACGTTGAATAAATAATCTTTCCGTTGATGTATGGTTTGTTAGGATAGGACAATATTTGGCTGAGATACAACTATTTGAAAATCTGGAATCTGAGGGTGCAAAAAAATCTAAATATTGAGAAAATCATCTTTAAAGTTGTTCAAATGAAGTTCTTAGCAATGCATATTACTAATCAAAAATTAAGTTTTGATATATTTACGGTAGGAAATTTACAAAATATATTCATGGAACATGATCTTTACTTAATATCCTAATGATTTTTGGCATAAAAGAAAAATGTATAATTTTGACCCATACAATGTATTGTTGGCTATTGCTACAAATATACCCCAGCGACTTATGACTGCTTTTGTGCTCCAGGCTCACACATCAGTGTGAATGATATAAGAATAAACCTTCAGAATACAGAGAGGAATAAAACTGTAAAGTTTGCTGAAGCGGAGGAAGAATCGCAGTTTAAAATAACTGTTTAGTTAAAAATAACAACATGATTACGGTCATTTCTGAAAGTTTAGTTTCGCTCAGGTTCTTCTCTGGCATTTGTTAAGATACTACAGTAATGATTTGTTTATCAGTCACACGAGCATAATTTAACCAGAATAAACCACCGGATCTCAAACCAGGCACTTGTGAAGCTCACCGGCGTCCTCTAGTGTTCAGTTACAAGAACTGCACACTGACTCTGTTTACATGCACTTCATGCACATCATGTGAGACACGTGTGCATTGCTTGACAGTGCTGTTATTGCTGTTATACAGTGCATATTAGATGCACGAAACTCACTGCACTTGCATCTCCGAACACTTTTATGATATGACATTAGTGTGAAAGCTGCCACTGTCTGTGATCTCATCAGTAATAATCAAACAGCGATAATGCTGGGGAAAAAAGAAAAACCCATAACTATGATTGTCTGTAAACACGCGAATCGAATCGTGACACCAGTGAAGATTCACAGCCCTAGTGTTTGCACACTGTTTAATGCAGCTCAGAGGTGGCATGAATGCATTTACACAGCGGGTGTAACGATTCGCTTGTTTTCTCGAAGCATCGATTACAAACCCTGACGATGATTGTGCTAAAGTGGAGCTATTGCAAGTATACTTCAGGTACACTTTAAATATCTTGCATTTTAAGACATTCATTATTCAAATATCACACAACACATTTTAGGCTTAATATTAAGTAATGCACGTAGTACTCCAAATGAAGATTAATTACAATTTTTGTATCAGTAAGTCTTGAGCGATGCAGTAAATATGTTAATAGATTAGTTTGAAATAAAAGTGTAGGCAATTTTAAACATATTACGTTTTAGACTTAATAGGCTATTTATTTTCAAACTTTTTAACATTTTAATCTGGACTACAACATGCCCTAGATATTGTTTGAAAGTGTTTTGATTCGTTGTAGTTCGGTAACACTTTACATTAGGGCTTCATTAGTTAACATTAGTTAATTCATTAGTTAACATAAACTTCCAGTGAAAAATTCTTCTGAACATTCATTAATCTTAGGTAATTACAATATTTAATAACACGTTGTTAAAATCAAAAGTTGCAACGGTGTTGTTTAATGAGCTAACATGAACTAAGAGTTGTATTTTTTTAAACAAAGATGAATAACTTCTGTAGCAAATGTAGCTATTGCTCATTGTGAATGTTAATGCATTAACTAAGGTTAACTAATGAGGTCTTATTGTAAAGTGTTACCTATTGGTCTTTATCATTCTTTTGTAGGGATGTAACGATATCAAAATCTCACGATACGATAATATCGCAATATGTCCACGATGCGATATTTATTGTGATTTTATTTTTTTAATTGGGAAAAAATTACAATTTTGTACATTTTAAAGTTAAATTATTCTATCTAATGCACTTTCAGAGTTCAAAATTAAGAGCTGCAACCATGTTCTTAACTAAGAAAACTTAAGTAAAAAAGAAAGTGAGTGAATTGACTTGTAGCTGAACTTTAAAGCGGACTCAACCCTCTTTTTATTTGTGATCTACTGTCTCAGTCTAAATTACACTCACACTGGGGTTTGAGGAAGCCAAACACATTAGAATATAATAATAATAACAATGATATATTAGCCATATATTGTAAAACAACTGCACTGTAAAATACATGAAAATGAATATTTCATAGGTATATTATTTTTGCTTTACACTACAGCAGGGAAATTACAACACTTCTTTCCTCATTTTTACACTCGAAAGAGATATTTTGAATTTGGACTGCATTTAAACCGCTAGCTGTCAGAAATTCATACTGCACTTTTAAAGGGGTCATATGATGCGATTTAATTTTTTCCTTTCTCTTTGGAGTGTTACAAGCACTTGGTGAATAAAGAAGATCTGTAAAGTTCGCGTTTCAGAAAGGCGGGGCATAGAGGAGAAACAATAATGTACAGTATGTGGAAAATAATGTGGTTTTTGAACTTTAAACCGCATAAACACATTTCATTACACCAAATACACAAAATAATGTTCTTTTTAGCAGCATCATATGACCCCTTTAAGCTTTTATTTTTACCGAAACGGCAGTAAAGCTTTTATTTTGAAGGAAAACTCCAGCTTCAGTGAAAACAGGCTTACAAAAACAAAAACACGTCTCACTACAAATCTAGTGAAACACCGTAATCATCTGCCGTGAAAATAAAGCATAACTGGTGGCTGTCGCGTTCCCAAACGCGCGCTAAACTAAAACACGTGAAATAAATAAAATAAACGAGTTGACTGCATTCATTCAGTGTGAACGGAGCCGTTCTGAGGCGCGGAAAACACTGGATCACGAGCTGATTGCCGAAGTGTGCGCTTCGCTTTGAAACACGCAGCGGAAACAGACCTATCGTTTTATATCGTCATGGGACCACGATAATATCGCGACAGTTTTGCAATCGCGATAATATTGTTACATCCCTATGACTTTTGCACTTTACTCTGTGTAAAATTTGTAACTTATACATTTTTGTGTATTGCTTTATTGTATTTAAACGTTAAGTATTTTCGTTATAAGAAAAAAGTTACTAAACCTGTTATACTGTATTATGACAACACTTTTTTGCAACTAAATGTCAATATCGTGATAATACCGTATACCGTGATAAAAGCATTATTATATAAAATTTGATACCGGCAATACTTGATACTTCGCACACAGCTGTCATTATCGCGAACGATTTCTTCGATTTCATAATCGCGCGATTTATATCATCTGTGATTTTTTTTTTGCATAGCTTGTCAGCGAACTACGGCTCTGTGTCATAAATGCTGCTCCATCTGAAAGCACGTGCTGGAGATTTACTACTATTTGACCGTTTAGGCGCTAAAAAGATGACTTTACGTGTCGGTGTTGTGTTCCGTCTCTGAGCGAACGCACAGAAATCCTCCCGAGCAGCAGTGCAAGTTCTCTTTCACGCTTTTAAAAACATGAATAAGTTTAATAAATCAAGCACGTCCCAAACTGCAAAAGTCTCGTTACATGATTTTACTGATTTGCACGTGAAACTGGGCTTTTATGGAGGAGCGAAAGCGCACCTCTGGGAATGGGGCGCAATAATCGTTTTATCTCAAATACTGTATTTTCATAACCGTTGGAGGCCGAAACCAAAATTTTTACTGTTTTTCGGTTAATTGCACAGCCCTACTGAAAACACGAAGTGGCGCATGCGCGACGACCTGTGGCCTGTGACCTCTGACCTGGTGGCCTGGTACATGGCGGCGGCCGTCCACGTCTCCGGCTCGGTGAGGTACAGCACCTGCTCCCAGTTGGAGAGAGCCGGGATGATCTTGAAGGCTTTGGGAAGTTTCCCGCTGCGGTATTTCGACAGGACCTGCGAAGGGAGAGTGTTAGCGCCAGCGGAGGACGACTCGCACGCTATAGCACTCATATTAGCGCTCGTACCTTGCTGACGCCTCTGTACACCTCCAGCACCCGCGGGTCCAGCTGAGGAGCGGCGCGTCCCGACGCCTCGGACATCACGGTGCCCACCTCCGTCTGCTTCTCCGTGATCTTCTCCATGATGATGTCGGCTAGCGTGCGTCTGCGGCGACACAAGCGTTTAGCTCACACAGCGCGGCGCTCGTAAACGCTCCGTGTGCGTGTCTGCTCACCTGAGCGGCGGGTTCTTGTTCATGAACATCTCGATGGCCTTCTCGTCCTCAGGATCCACGTCCACCTCTCCACCCGTCTCCTCCGCAGCGTCATCGCCCAGCGCCGGCCACTCGTCATCAGAGTCTCCGTCCTGTGTGCTCGGACCTGAGACAACCACGAGTTCAGTCGCTTTCATACGTACCAGCCTATATATTGTGCATATATAGTTTATCTGTCTGTCTATATTATACATATCTACCAGAGATATCTGTCTGTCTATAGACTATATACACAGATTTACTTTATAAACATCTGTTGGTCTCTATGTCTATGTATATGATAAACGTGTCTGTCTGTCTGTCTATATATTATAAATATCTGTGTCTATATATCATAAATATCTATCTATCTGTCTGTCTATAGAATATATAGACTCAGATTTACTTTATAAACATTTGTTGGTCTCTATGTCTATGTATATGATAAACGTGTCTGTCTGTCTATATATCATAAATATCTGTGTCTATATATCATAAATATATATCTGTCTGTCTATAGACTATATAGACTCAGATTTACTTATAAACATTTGTTGATCTCTATGTCTATGTAAACAATAATCGTCTGTCTGTCTATATATCATAAATTTCTGTGTCTATATATCAAATATCTATCTGTCTGTCTATAGACTATATAGACTCAGATTTACTTTATAAACATTTGTTGGTCTCTATGTCTATGTATATGATAAACGTGTCTGTCTGTCTATATATCATAAATATCTATCTGTCTGTCTATAGAATATATAGACTCAGATTTACTTTATAAACATTTGTTGGTCTCTATGTCTATGTATATGATAAACGTGTCTGTCTGTCTATATATCATAAATATCTATCTGTCTGTCTATAGAATATATAGACTCAGATTTACTTTATAAACATTTGTTGGTCTCTATGTCTATGTATATGATAAACGTGTCTGTCTGTCTATATATCATAAATATCTATCTGTCTGTCTATAGAATATATAGACTCAGATTTACTTTATAAACATTTGTTGGTCTCTATGTCTATGTATATGATAAACGTGTCTGTCTGTCTATATATCATAAATATCTATCTGTCTGTCTATAGAATATATAGACTCAGATTTACTTTATAAACATTTGTTGGTCTCTATGTCTATGTATATGATAAACGTGTCTGTCTGTCTATATATCATAAATATCTATCTGTCTGTCTATAGAATATATAGACTCAGATTTACTTTATAAACATTTGTTGGTCTCTATGTCTATGTATATGATAAACGTGTCTGTCTGTCTATATATCATAAATATCTATCTGTCTGTCTATAGAATATATAGACTCAGATTTACTTTATAAACATTTGTTGGTCTCTATGTCTATGTATATGATAAACGTGTCTGTCTGTCTATATATCATAAATATCTATCTGTCTGTCTATAGACTATATAGACTCAGATTTACTTTGTAAACATCTGTTGGACTATGTCTATGTATACGATAAACGTCTGTCTGTCTGTCTGTCTATATATCATAAATATCTATCTGTCTGTCTATAGACTATATAGACTCAGATTTACTTTGTAAACATCTGTTGGTCTCTATGTTTATGTATACGATAAACGTCTGTCTGTCTATACATCATAAATATCTATCTGTCTGTCTATAGACTATATAGACTCAGATTTACTTTGTAAACATCTGTTGGTCTCTATGTTTATGTATACGATAAACGTCTGTCTGTCTATACATCATAAATATCTATCTGTCTGTCTATAGACTATATAGACTCAGATTTACTTTGTAAATATCTGCTGGTCTCTATGTCTATGTATACGATAAATGTCTGTCTGTCTATATATCATAAATATCTGTGTCTTTATATCATAAATATCTATCTGTTTGTCTATAGACTATATAGACTCAGATTTACTTTATAAACATCTTTTGGTCTCTATGTCTATGTATACGATAAACGTCTGTCTGTCTATATATCATAAATATCTATCTGTCTATATATCACAAGTGTAACTATATAGACTATTTACTGTTAAAATCACAATCATTTTTTACAGCGTATATATCAAACATCTGTCTGTGTCTATATATCATAAATACCTGTCTATCTATATATCAAATACCTTTCTGTCTACATATGTCTATATATCAAACATCTGTCTGCCAATATATCGTAAATATCTGTCTGCCTGTCTATCTATATATAATAAATATCTGTCTGTCTATATATCATAAGTGTCTGTCTGTCTGTGTATGTCTACATATCATAAATATCTGTCTATATATATAAAATACCTTTCTGTCTACATATGTCTATATATCAAACATCTGTCTGCCAATATATCGTAAATATCTGTCTGCTTGTCCATCTATATATAATAAATATCTGTCTGTCTGTATATATATCATAAGTGTCTGTCTGTCTGTGTATGTCTACATATCATAAATATATGTCTATCTATATATATAAAATACCTTTCGGTCTACATATGTCTATATATCAAGCATCTGTCTGTCTACATATGTCTATACATCATAAACATCTATCTGTGTTTATATATATATCATAAATATCTGTCTGTCTGTATATACATCTATCTATCTATCTATAGACAACATAGACTCAAATATGTATTGTAAATATCTGCCTGTCTGTCTATATATCTGTCTATCATAAAGCTGTCTGCCTGTCTATCTATGCATCTATCGTAAATATTTATCTGACTGTCTATAGACTATATAGACTCATAAATAAAATATCTATGGTAAGCATGTGCCCATCATTAATATCTGTGTGTCTGTCTCCTATCTATCTATCTATCTATCTATCTAGCTACCTGTCTGTCTGTCTATCTATCTACCTGTCTGTCTGTCTGTCTATCTACCTGTCTGTCTGACTGTCTGTCTATCTACCTGTCTGTCTGTCTGTCTATCTGTCTGTCTATCTGTGTATCTATCTATCTGTCTGTCTGTGTCTATCCATCTATCTGTCTGTCTATCTATCTATCTATCTGTCCGTCTACCTGTCTATCTATCTATCTATCTATCTATCT